ACAGTCTATTGTCTTTTATTTCCACTGGACTGTGTGGAAGTGATTCTTTGGTGACTGTCAGAGCTGTATGTTTTTTCTGAAAGTATTTAAGAAATACTAAGTGGTATGAGGCTGGTAGTCTCACTCAATTGCATTGTCTGTCTACCAACACCTATTGTTGGCTCCAGAAAAATGCAGTCAGATGCTGCTAGGCCGGCTGGGCCTTAGCCTGTTACTGCAGCACCTGTCAGGAATCGTTAGCTAGTGCTCTCTTTGACTAATGTTCCAGTTGATTGTCTGATTCGTGTTCAAGATCTGTAAATGAGGCAGAAGCATCTCTACTGCTCACTAGCTGTGAAATGGCTAAACACAGCTAGATTTTCAGAAATCAAAATAAATATATTTCCACTAAGTTTGACAACAGTATCAAGTGCAAAGCTCAGAGCAGAACTATGGGTTTTGTGTTTTTTAAAGTTACAGTATTATAAATCAATATTATCCCATTATATTTTTGTAAGAGCAATTTATTTTACCAAAATAATGAAATACTGGTAATAGCATTAGTCTTGTGTTGAGTTGAAGAGACATTCTTTATTCAACATAAATTCATACCTTTGATTTTTACTCTTTTGTCCATTATCCCCAGATGTATCAATGTTTAGCACAGCCTATGTCCTTTCATCTGAGTCCTCAGTGTGTGCCAATGAGGTGTGTGCCTGTTTTTATGTACATATAAAAGAAGTACAGGTGTGACAACAACAACAGAAAAAAAGGGCGGGATTTTGGGGAGGGGGATTCTTATGAGAGGAGCTGGTGTATCTGTTTTGTTATTGGAGTAATCCCAGGAGGGTCACACTGGCATAATGCTGAGATAACTGAGCAGCAAATCTAGGCCTAAGCTCTGACTAGTATTTTTCTTGGCAAAGCAGGTGAACATGAAATTCACCACTATCTAGAGAATTAGTGCAAGAGCTATACCATAAATAGACTCTAGCTTGAGGATTTAGGCAGAGCTTGTTACTTATTTTTTTATGCTGTAACTAATTGTAGCCACTATAGACTTACAAAGACCCAGGAAGAGAGCTGATTTGCAAATAGATGCTCCCACAGTAGCTATCCTCCTTCCAGGTGCACCTGCATCCAGCTTTTAGTGCTAAGCAAGAAAACAAGGGAAATTGTACAATGCATCCTGATTTTTTTTTTATTTCTATTTTGGAGCTATAAAAGCTGCTACTTTTTTTTTTTTTTCCCGCTGCATCCACCAAAATAATAGTGGATAGCATGTGGGACAGCTGTATGTGATGTGGAAAACAAAGTGGAAGTCTTCACCCTGCCACCTTCCCTCATGCTGCACAAATGAGAACAAGCGATTGAAGGGAAGAAGTGAAACACTGTTTATTTCTGTATTAGACTTTGATTTTCATTTTATTTGGGTTTTTTTAACCAGTATTTCCACTGTGGACCCGCAGAAGTAGGCAGTTTAAGACAGTCACTGTGTTTGGTCACATAGAGCCAAAAACTAATTTGCGACCAGAATCTGCAGTTTTTATAATTTTTATTTTGTTAAACTTACCTCATAATTTCTTTTTAGAAGTAGAAAGAACTGTACATTTTTCTAATCTGTTTAACTTAAGGTACAATGATCTTTTTCCATTAGTTGCTAGAGGATCAAACTCTGAAACAGTATGGAAATTTTATAATGGACCCTGGCATGATCAGGATAAATCTATTGCAACAGCTTCATTCTTCAGAACATTTTGTACATAGTAGGTTTAATTAAAAAAACCCCAACAACAGCAACAACAAAAAAACCCAAGACATTTTGCCCCTTCAGTAAGTAAATCTCCAAAATCTTTGAGTTTTGAGAAGGAAATTCAGAGATTCATATAATACCTAAACCCACTCTTTTTAATGTACATTACCAAGTATAGATTCTTATGTAGTCCCATTCAATAACTTTTTACACAATGTTAAATATTTTTATTTACATTTCCTTAACATGGAGAAAATTACCAAGACGACATTTTAACGCACAATATTTACCATAGAATACTGAAGCTGAAGCACATTATCTTAGTAAGACGACTTTTGTTCTGTCATCTAAAACAATTTTTCCATTTTTTTTGTGTAATGACAGCTGTATTCTCTAAGATCACAAATGCAGCAAAACTCATATTTATGTAGGAGTTTTCAGCATTAATTGTTGACCTGTTCCATTTCTTGGATGTCACTATCCTCTGCACAGATTGGCCAAAATATATATAAAAGACATTTCTGGCTATACTTCTGTCTGAAGGTAGAAAAACTTTCACGGGAGCCTATAAATTCCATTAGATCCAAATGTTATGTGTTCCAAATATTTATCCACTTGTCAGAGAGCTAGTAGATGACTGGCCCAGCCATGCCCACTCAATACTCCCTTGCCACATGCATGTCTTCTCTTATATGGTATTCACAGGAACCCAGTTAGATGGACTGGTTGTTCATATCCCATGAAAACAAACAGGAAAGTTTTCATGTCTATTTGTTGTTTTCAGGCTGCTGACAGATTCTGGCAGGCATCACTTTGTCAATTCTGCTTGATTTGCCAGCATGTAAGCTTTATAATTTTTCATTTTAAATGAAAATTAAAAGTGTGCTGTAATTGCCAGAGACAATTCACAAGGTGAAATCCTGTAATGCTTACATGTTAATCCAGCATTTTTTCCTGCCCTACCTTCTCCTCTTTTTCTATCCTGAATATTGAAGGTAAGGCATGCACTGTACGTGAGAAGGTCCCTCTTCACTTCCTCCACTTCCTCCACATAAATGGATACTGGGCAATTGTAGCATACAGGGGGACCACACAGCTCCTTTCCACCAAGAATGTGTCCCTTTCTGTGTTCCTACATAGTATCTGAAACTACAGGAGTTATCTGAAATACAGACATAAAGAGGATATTTTCTGTTATAATTTGTCAAGATTTCCTCCCTTTCATGTAGGTGATTTAATTATTGTTATTTCATCATTATTTAGAATAAAACATCTGATTTGTGTAGAGTAGTAATAACCTTGGAATGAATACTTTTCATCAATATGAATGAGTGACTTTACTTGCTTGCTTGCTTGCTTCTTTCTAGCAGCTGTTGCAGAGACGCAGTGAACCGACTTCTTGCTTTAGCTACTCTGTCTATGGTTTTTCCTTGGTTTTGTCTGTAGGTTTTAGGCTTTGTGGTATCTTTGATAGAAAAAAAGTACAGTAGCCTAAGCCTTAGGTGCCTAAGTAACCTTTCTGTGCTCGATAGTAACGACTAGAAGCCCTGTGTCCTAGTTTAATATTGCAGAGGCCAGTTTAAAGTGGGAGCGATTTTAGTCCCATACATAAGATTTTGGAGAACTCCTGACGCTCTTATGGCAGGTTTTCTGATATGGGCACGATTATCATAACAAATTATGTAGGTTCTCTGGTTAAATGCAAAGCCAAGAACTGTTTCTTGGACACTTGTGTGAGTTTCTGTTACCATTGTGGATTATTAGAAGGATGTACTGCAGGCCTTGGCAACTCAGAGTCTGCATTCAGTTTAGAGCGAGTTCTGAACTGATGTGACAACATCCTAACTGAGGTGCCTTTATACTCTTTTTGTCATATCTTATGCACTGATAACTCAATTGACAATGACCTTCAAGTATAGGATGCAATGCTGGTGTACGTGAGAACATAACTGATAAGAAAGTACTTGGGGATGATAAATAGTGCAGTGCACATTAATAAATGCTATTTTTTATGCACACAGAGCTTATATAACTAAAAAATAAGAGCCTTGTCCAGGGATACTCCTGCATGTAGTAAAACTCTTTCAAGAATGAGGAAATCTGAGTAGTGGAAACAATGATAGAAGTGGTGACATCCATAGCATTAGCACACACAGGTTGTCTTCATTTGCCAATGACAGGGGCCGCAGTCTAATAGAAAATGCCCTATCTTTTACCTCAGTATAAATAGGCATCTTGGGGCATGCAGGACACTGTCATATGTCCCTGGGCATCTCCCATCCCCCTTCAGAGCTGGTAAATGACATTCACTGCTCCTTTCTTAGAAACGTGCAAAAAGGATTTCCATAGATAGTCTTTGGAGATTTCCTGTTTTCTCATGTGTGTAATAGGTTGGGTCAAGCAACAAAGAGTAGGGGGGAAAGAATAGGATTTAATTTTATATGCACTCTCCCATCATCACCATTGGAAAAAAAATGTGGATGAAAAGAGAAATTATGCAATACAGGTGATGTCAGTGTTAAATTGAATTAAGATCATATGCTTTTATGCAGCAGCTGTAAGCCTTTGGTTATGGGAGAGGTCATGATAATAGAGTACATTCCAAATGAATGTTAACAAATTGCTTGTGTGTGTGAATAATTAGTCATAAAAATAACAATATTATCTACAGTATTTTAAACTGACATCGTTTAAATATATGACCTATAATTTATTCACTTTTGGGGCATCTGAATTGCACTAAGAAAAGTTGTAACAGTGACAGCGTAAAGAAAGAAAAATAATATTGTTGTATTTCAGCGTATCATTCTAGAACACTAGGAAAGCAAAGGATACCATGTTGATTGGTATTGATTATCAGAAATTCATAAAAGCACAGCCTCTTAAAACCTTTTAAATTATGGATAAGGAAATTTATGTTGTGAATTGGGTAACACCTCTTTTGTTTTCACAAAGTGCCAAAATACAGGGATTTCAATGCAAGTTATATCTTTTTAGTTTGTAATTATTGAGTAGTTTCAAACAACTTTAAATAATGATCAAAAACCTAGTCCCATTACAGCTAATTAAATGAGAAATATTGAAGTAATGAGTAGTTTCAAACAACTTTAAATAATATCAAAAACCTAGTCCCGTTACAGCTAATTAAATGAGAAATATTGAAGTAGGAATTTAATTTTATATTTCATGTGGACACAGAGACTGAAAAAAAAAAAAAGTGAAAATTCTTAGCGTTGTATTTATTGGGTTTTATTTTCCTGTTCCACAGATTTTGAACACCTCTGTAAAAATCTTCACAGCACTTTGTGATTCTGCTGGCCTAGGCAGAGCATATGCAGCTATAGCCAAGATCCTGGTAAGGTAGGTTAACACATCCTTTTCTGACTGTTAGTGCAGATTCATTCAGCTGTGAAAGACTTAAATTGTTAGAGGTCTGTCGCTTCCCATTACTGACTGCTTAAATTTTAAGCAGTGCCCTTCTTGCAGTAAGTGACCCTTTCATTGAAAGTTATTTCAAACTGGTACATATTTCTTAAAGTGTATGATCCAAGCATTTCTTTACGTGTAAACTGTAATATGTTCTTTTTTTCCCACATTTGGGAAAAAGTTTGGGAGGAACCTTACCGGAAAATAAAAATCCAGGCATATTTTCCAGGTTAAAAAAGACAGAAAACCTTGAAGAATGTGGTAAGCTTCAGCAGATGTCTCTGTGTACTCTTTTCTAAACTGTAAGTTTCCTTTTATTGCACTTACTTCTGTGAGTTGTTTCTGATTGTGCAACTAAATATAAATTTGTTGCAAAGAAGATGCTTGTCTTCAATGTGTTTGTTTCAGCATCTGGCATTAAAATCTTCCAGGTGAATTAGTTTGAAACTACTTCAACTTTTCACACAAATAATTTTGACATAAAGTAATCTAATGCAACTATCATATGAAGTAGGAAAAAAAGATATTAACGTGAAGATTGCAGTTTATCCTTGATTCATCCTATGTTTGGGGAGTTCAGTGCATATGATGCATTACAGAGGCTGGCAGACTGTTTATGGAGGAGGACTTGTCACCAGATTTTTTCAGTGTGTGAAGCAAATTCTCCTGTTTGAGTTAGATCCCTTGTCTCTTGGCCTTTCAGAGCATGTAAGGACCAGCCACAACCACAGCTCTCTTCAGCTGTCTGATACGTACTTATGGCTACTCATATTATGATCATCCTAAATAAACACATGGGATAAGATGTTCAAAAAGCCACAGAACAGACTTAGAATACCAGGTCCCATTTTTGAAACTGTCTTAAGCTTAACTGAGAAAGATTTAGTTGCTGGGACACCAGCTGTTACAATGAGTGACTTTGCAATGAGTACAGAGGTGTCTGAGCTCTCAGTAGCATTCATGGGTTCCTTGTATTCATAAAAAGCAGCAGTCTGGGTAGAGAGTGGCCTAAGATAGCCAAGAGGACATTCGTAGAAAAACACATATATTAATTTCCTCTCTACGTGATTTAGGCATTCTGGAATCAGAGCACATACATTTATGTACTCAGAAGTTACAGATTTGGAGATCTTTCTTGAAGTCAGGTTGCTAAACAATTCATCTGAAAGACCATACCAGTGCAAGTTCTTTTCTTAAAAGCAGAGCTAAAGAAGGAGTGGGTAGTGATTTTCTTCTGCATCAGATCTGTACTCCACACCTTCTAGGAGCATTCTGTTATCTCTCTGGGAATGGACAGTCTCACTGCTTTCCAGTTGTTGCAATTTAAAAAAACAGGAAAAACAGTAGGTAAAGAGAAAAAAACAGAGGGAAAACAAAGGGCACTAAGACTCCCCGGTTTAGTATTTAAGTCATTCTTCTAGGAGAGGAACATTCTGATTGATTCAAGTAGAGGAGGAACTCACTCTCGTGTCTAGGATCAGGAATTTAACTGCTAATCTATTGCACAGGTAGACACAACCATAAACCCCTGCTCTGGAAAATGGCTCCTGTGGTATTTTTTATAAAACCCATATGGTAGTTATGCCCTGAGAGCATTAACCAAATTAAACATCTTACATATGTGCATGCTTTGAAGAGCTTTAGATACATGGTAGGCAGAAAGTGCTTGGCCCTCTAAAATATCATAATGATTCTCGGCACCTTTCAGCCATTGAAGGAACTTTTATGTAGAAAAGTCTGGGTACCTATGAATCATAGAATCATGGACTCATAGAATAGTTTGGGTTAAAAGGGACCTTTAAAGCTCATCTAGTCCAACCCCCCTGCAGTGAGCAGGGACATCTTTAGCTAGATCGGGTTACTCAGAGCCCAGTACAACTTTGCCTTGAATATTTCTGGGAATGGGACATCTACCACCTCTGTGGGCAACATGTTCAAGTGTTTCACCACCCTTATTGTGAAAAATTTCTTCCTTATATCTAGTCTAAATCTACACTCTTTTAGTTTAAAACCATTACTCCTTGTCCTATCACAACAGGCTCTATTAAAAAGTTTGTCCCCATCTTTCCTGCAGGCCCCCTTTAAGTACTGGAAGGCCGCTATAAGGTCTCCCCAGAGCCTTCTCTTTTCCAGGCTGAACAACCCCAACTCTCTCAGCCTGTCCTCGTAGGAAAGGTGTTCCAACACTCTGACCATCTTGGTAGCCCTCCTCTGGACTCATTCCAACAGCATCATGTCTTTCTTGTGTTGGGGGCTCCAGAGCTGGATGCAGCACTCCAGGTGGGGTCTCACAAGGGCAGAGTAGAGGGCCAGAATCACTGCCCTTGACCTGCTGGCCATGCTTCTTTTGATGCAGCCCAGGATATGGTTGGCTTTCTGGGCT